CTGGCTGGGAGGATGCGGGCAAAGGGCGGCGGCTGTTGCAGAGCCACGTAGCCCGGTGCCGCCTGGCAGACGTTACCTAATGCTGAGCAAAACTCTCGCGGTTTCACGGGACCCCCCGGTGTGGGGTGATCCTTGGACAAGCAGCAAGTAGCAGGATAATTACTCGACGTATACATGCGGTTGTTATAACACCAACGCGTAAAATGAGCCAATGAAGGTCCTCGACAATGTCCATGAAGTTATACACAGTCAGTGCTTAATTCCATGGTGTCGTTTGGGATTGAAAATGCTAAACCGAAGTTGCATTGCCCAGCTTATTTAGGTCCAACGGCTTTAATCTGCCAAATAATGGATGGTTTAGTCATAGTTGTATGAATAAATAAAATGAGTATTCCTGGAGTTTTTTTTTCAATTATCATGAATACATGCTTACACTAAAGTATAACACGTTGTAAAAAAACGCGCGTATTATGTTCAGTGTAACGTGCATATAATCATGTAAAATGCGTTTAATTTCTAATGCACATTTAATAGAATTTACACATTTAACAGGTAACCAAGATTATAGCAAATTATTGTATATGATCAAAAATGGACCGGCATTTCCAGTATTACATTGTAAAACTGAAGCTTGTGTTTTTTGTACATTTAACTATCTCGTTAAACAAGTGTAGTAATACGTGCACCAAAGCATGAACAGCTCAGGTTGAGCAGTTATCTACGGGACCCTTTTTGGCAGTATCAAGGTGTTGAACGATACAAAAGGTTTGTACCCTTTCTGGCATAAATGCAGGTGTTAAGATGTTCAAACACCAAATGCTGACTTCACGCCTTTTAATAGATGCCTATTTGGTGTTTTTCACATCTAAACACCTGCATTTATGCCCGAAACGGTAAAGCCTTTTCTATCATTCCATAGTTCATTGTGACATAAAAAGCATACCAGGGCGAATGATTATTTACTAATCACTTAGATTAACTCATTGGAATGTCTATTTTTTTACACTTTTAGAAAAATTGTTTAATGCTATGTTTTCATGGAAACCTTTTCACCCACATTCCTTCGACCACGTGCTGTTTCATGGAATTAAACATAATTAATTTTCCCCTACATTTCTAGTTCATTGTTGGTTTACTTTTGTTCCACAGTAAATGAAGAGTTAAGATCTTTCCAAGAAAATTGTGGATGAAAGTGCAGTTTAATATTGACGTAGACTCGGTTGTATCTGTGTTGAAAGGTGAATTTATTATATTAATAGTGTGAAGGATGTATATATACAATATGTACAAAAAATAAGAAACATGACCAATTTGACATATGTTCATCCTTCTAATTTATATAACTCTGCATTAATCGATTAAATTAACATGCATTCTGCATGCAAATTTAAAATCTGTAAATACATTTGAATAGGTGCGATGAGAGGTTAATGGATATGTAATACTTTAAGTTGGTTTTATCATACTTTTTTGAACAGAAGAATGATTGAGGCATCATTCAATGATTGCTGTATTTGATATCGATATAAACATTCCATTAACAATTCTGCAAATTGTTTTCCAGCAGTTTATCCAACTTCTTTTATGATTAAAATTTCGATTTAAAGCTTTCGTGACTGCAGGGATTCATATTCTTGGTTCTTTCGGCAAAGTCACGTAGAAGGGAAACAATCAAATAATAAAAATATAAAACAATAAAATTCTCACGACGTTTCGACTGCAACACAAGCAATCATCATCAGGTGTGTGGTTTTCACACCTGATGATGATTGCTTGTGTTGCAGTGGTTTTCACACCTGATGATGATATATTATTGGCGAACATAAAATGTGGCAGTTTAACATATATTTAAAAAACCCCATAAATTACCAAAAAATATCAAATTATACGTTGAACATAGCATCGACAGATTCAATGTAAACGAGATAAACATGGTATACACAAAACTACTAAGAATAATGAACAATATTGTTTGGTACATACTGCAATTGATAGGTTCAGATTAAATCGGTGGTAGCTCAAAAATAATGCCACGAGCAAAAGCAACAGGATTCCAGCGAAAGTAATGATAACTCTAGTTGCAGGCAACAGAAGTAAGGAAGTATGGTGAGGTGGAGATGAATGACATGAAACATCAGTACAATCTGGCATATGATCGCCAACAGTGAAGGACTGCTGCTGGAAGTTTTAGGACTCAGTGTGATGGGGAGGAGAGATGCTGAAAGGTGTATTTTGAATGACACCATCATGAGATGGTGGCTCTTCGCTGCCAGTGAAGATGAATACCACCCCATGCTTGAGCAAACATACTTTTTTATATGGATATACCATTCTACAACTGACAATGCACGAATTCACGTACATTTGGATAAATAAAACTAATTCTGGTTAATGCTATTGACATGAGCACACTGGAGATACGGACAGATTACAAGCTGCATATGTGGTTTGGGACAACATTAACAATCTCCCATTGAGAATCCTAATAGATTAAAACTAGGGCTCACAGGATGTATATATGGACAAACTGTGCTGCATTCAAGGCAATGCATCACACTAAGCAGCTGGAGAGTATACCACTTGTTAGCTTCATAACAAGTGTTTTAAGTATGGCTTAAAATTATGAACTGAAAGTCTGTAGGTAAATCTTATTATATAAACTTACAAGGGACATTTTTTTAAAATATATATTACACAGCGTATTGCAAATTTGATACAAATTCATAACAATTACGATTTCATGCAGCTAAATATTCTAGTAAAAATTACTTGACGGCAAGATCATCAAATAATTCATTGGCGTAAAGCCCTATGGATGGCGTTTTGAATCCAAGCAATTATTTCGTTACAGCGGCAATGACGTTGAACCAGGCACTGAAAGGTAGAAAATCTATCAGAGACTGAACAAAATAGTAATGGTCATAGCAAATTAAGTCCAGTCGTGCATATGTAAAAGAGAAAACTGCAAATCTAATTTTAACATTGAGTTTATTACACTTCATTTTGGTGAAGACTGTTAAAAAAATTAAGTTAGTTTTAGAATATGTACCCGTTTTCAGAAGCAAATGATTGACTTCGTAAAACGCTTTTGAGTTTAGCTTAAGCTGTTTGCTTTACTCTAGTTGTCTATACGTAGCTAAATTACAAATAAGTTATTATGCATCTTGCGCATACTTACGGCAATGCTTAATGCAAATAAAAACATTTTACTTCTTAAAATATAGACTGGTATCAGATAACAGAAGTGTGTAAAATGGTAATCATGTTCATAAAATTAATTCACATGCTCAATCTCAGATGGCCTTCATTACAATTCACAGAAGCAAATATAAATGTTTTATTATATTTGATTGTGGGACGTCTCAATTTGACGAGCCAAACCTGTCAACATTTTATAATTCTGTCAAATGAGACCAGGCAAGGTGAAAGCAACTAGACATGCAGTGGATAAAACATCCAATCTACAGTTTCATATTGCCTTCGTGTAAGAATCGACAAAAATGCACGAATCTTATTGCCGTGGTCTTCAGCACTCAATTTAACACACACCTTCCACACAGTGTGTTGATTATTGAATGAACTGATCAATATGGCCATTCGTATGTGCTTTATTTTTTACTTGCAAGCCAATCTCTCAAAACGAAAAACGTTGGTTGAAGATGGATAATCCACTGGTCTAGTTTTGTCATCTCAAACATAATTATATCCAAATTGTGTTGTGTTCCAATGATTTGTAAAAATGTCACGATACAACTGTCACAATGCTGTGTATTTAAAGGTCGGAAAAAATGTTACTGCTCGCCGAGATTGAAAAGTAACACACCAATTTGTCTAAAGAAAGTTTGTAATCTGTGCGTACTACTTGCGATGGCATGTGGTTCAGAACCATGGCCATTTAAAAAGTTGCCAAAGAAGCATCGAGATGCGTTCTTGGATTTACATTGAGAGGCACCAAGATGACAACATATGTAGGTTAATGATGAAATGAAACCCTAACAGTAAAAAAACGTAAGCAAGCTTTAGCAGGGAAAGTTTCTAAGAATGATGATGGCCGATAGTCAAGAATTAGATTGACAGCCAAGGAATTTAATGCATCTATGACGTGAGCAGGTGTTAGGTGCTTGTGGCATAATATTGACATGGTGGCTTGGGGAGACCTTGACCATGGTGTAGGGGCGCAATGGTGCCACCTTTGATCACGTGAAACGTCTGCAACCTAGCAGCAAAATCTGGGAATTTTGCACGAGAACCAGAACCATAGTACAGTATATTGAACTTCTTTCCCACTGCACGTAGCCAACCACGCTAATTGGAGGTGCGGGGGAAGAACAAATTACAGTAAACACAAAACTCAGTTTTAGAGAAGTGAGTTTTCAATCTAGATTTAAAAGTGTTTAGCTCTCGTGGTTTCTTAATATCAGAAGAGCGTTCCAGATGGCCGCGGAAGCGCATCCGAAAGCGCGCGATGCAGTGACCATATTTGTTCGATGGCCAGTCAAAAGCCGCATGTTTACTTAAGTTGCATTCACATAATTAATCATTTAATCTTCTATCAACAGCGATTAGCTATTTGACCGTAATGAAACTATAGGTCACAACTCTGTCTGATAACGTGTGTGATATTTAATGTACTGCTCATGTAACCGTATATTTAAGACATCAAAAACGAATTATAATGCATTTAAGAAACGTAATTGAAAATAAAGCTTCTAGTCTACCTTAATTTGGAATATAATAAGTCAGATGGAAACATATGGCTAAATGCCGTGCTGATCTTCGAAGTTGATTCACTGTTGTCACCATACCAAAAAGTGCAGAAGGGTGAATTTTGGGTGCCTCAAGACCATTTCGGATATCACTTACCACTGCTGTTAACCATGACTGGAAATCTAGTCCAAGTCAACCTCAGCCAAATAAAACACGTTGATTCGTAAAAAAAACATTTACAGTGGATTAGTTAAATTGCACCGATATACAGGAAAGACAAACCAACAAACGTGTAAAACCCACCATTTATTGAAATGCAATGTATATACATGTATCCAAAACCAAAGCCTAGCAAAGAATAAGTCCACCAAAACAAACACCAGTTACAAAAAAAATGCGGGAAAAAAAGTTAATGAAGACAATCTCAGCTTAGGTTTTTTTTGCACATCTTAAGTTGTAATTGCAGAGATAAAAATGGCCATGTCAAGGCAAGGATATGTTAAACTCAGTCACCAATATTGCTTGTGAAGCATTAACTCCCATGCATAGAATACAGTGACAGTAAAAAACACACTGCACATATATTCTGCCATTGAGGTGTAAATGTGGAGTCTTTCTTTCCCTTCAAAATAAAAGCAAGCTCAATAAACAAAAAATATTAGAATATTCAGTATTGAATATCAATATCTGAAGTCAAAATGCGAAAGTATTAGAGTAAGGTGTGCCCAATTCAGGAGACTGGGAAGCAATATATTGATAACGGAGCAATAATAAAACTACTGTCGAAAAACCTTCATGAGAATAGTGTTCTACTGAAAATGTTAATACTCCTAGAGATAAAATGGCATTGAAGAACGAATTATTTCACTTAAACAGTAACAGTTATGTGCACATTTACCAATATGCTATTGTAAAGCATGTGATCTATAACAATAATTATATTTTCCTTTAAAAATGGGGATTTGCAATCGTATTTAGCTCAAAGCACATTTTAAGCTTCGTTTTAATTAATGGTTTGTTGCTCATGAAAAAAGATAAAAAATATATATAATTGGGTGATAATTTTGTTTCACTCATATTGATCTCAAGTCCAACTTTGCTGCCATCTTTATTAAGTTATTTTACCATTTCCCGCAGTTCACTCTCAATGGAAGTGGTAATGCCTGTCAACAGCAAAGCTAAGATGATTGAGTTCACTCAACTAGTTTGCTAAAAACAAACGAGAGATCTCTGTTGGAGGGAAATAACTGGAAAATCTTGCAGAATATGTATACCTTGGACAGTAATCGAAGGGGGACTTGAGATCAGGATGAAATAACAAAAAAAGGCGGATGGAAGTGGATTGAAGCCCTGTTGGAAAGCACAATTTGATCATAAAAAAGCAACATAGCAATGTGCATGAGGAAAGTTTTCAACCAGTGAATATTTACCTGCTATGACATATGGATCAGAAGAATCATGGGCACCGATGGACAGGATGGAACAAGGGTTTAAACGTCCATAAAGAAGCATGGCAAGAGACGCAGAAAAGAGGGACATGTGGAATAGAGAATAAAAGCAGTTTGAAGACATGTTGACCGACAAAAACAGTGGGCTTGGGCAGGACACGTTGCTAGAAGGGATGATGCCCAGTGGGTGAGAATTACTTTCGAGGTGGCAGCCCATGAAGGAAAATCTGTCCAAGAGGACATCTACTACAGAAATTGAGCGATGGCTTGTGTGCAGGTGCTGGGTGAGCTGTTGCATCGCGGGACCATGGAGGATGGCGGCGACTAAGGGAGGCCTTCATCCAGCAGTGGATTGAATGGCTGATGGTAAATTAGATACTAGTTGATGGTTTGTTTGGAGGATTAGAAATTTCTTCTGAATCCTGTTTGCAGTCTGGCTGGCATTAACCTTACACACAATAAACATGCAGTATGTTCAATATCACATACTGTTTAATACATACCTATAATTATCCAAATTGTAAAATGTTATCTTAATCTTAAGGTCCTTGGAGTGTTATAAATTTTTTACATCACTTTCAAAAATGTTTGTGCAAAGGCAGATGAGAAAAATATTATCAAGAGGCAGTGCTCTTTGCATATGCGTTTGTTTCGTTTATAGAAGGTGTTTAATACTTCCCATAACAAAAATGACAACCAGCAATATACAATTGGTATTCACATGTTTTTACCACTGCCAAAATAGGTGAATCAACGCATATGATGTTTCCACTGTTGGTTCCGAAATGCTCTCGTATTTACAAATGTGCTACGGTGAATAATTTTCATGTTAGAAAACGACATCTGAACCCAATAATTATCTCAAACAACTTTCAAGATTGCACATGACGGTGGACACACCATTAGGTCACAGTTCATCCTGTTGGACAAGAACAAAACACAAAACATTGGTAAGCATCAAACAAAAATTAAACGTGATGTCTTGTAATAATACTCAATATAGCAAGTATTCCACATGTGACAAACCAGAGTATGTGTGAATGGACAATAATACGTACCTTTTTGGTGTTTTCATGTAGGGGTATATCTCCCACCCGCCTTAGAAGGTTCTCTGCTATGTCTTTTCCATTTCTACTGTTAATCTCCTCCCCTCCTGTACTCCTCTGAACACAGAAAAACACCAAAACAAATTAAGGCGTTACGCTCAAAGCACATGTGTCAAATATACCATAATCTAAAGTATATTAGGAGCAATATTGAACGTGTACCTGAACCCTATGGACTCAAATTCCATGATTTATAGCAACACGTGTAGTTAAAATATTCCCATGTGTCTGTGTCTACAGTTTTGACCCAATTTTTTACGTAAATAGTTACATGTGTTGTTGACATTTTTACCATTCATGTTTATACTCTGGGATAGTTTAAATGTTAACACATGGATTATACATAAGTACACACATAAAGGAGTGTGTATATGAAGGCTACTTAAATGTTGAGGCTACACCACATACATACACGTGAGCTTTAATCTACACGGTTAAACTGGCTGTGACCTCAGTATTGTGGTCTGATTGCACATACAATAAGGTCAAGTGAAGTGTATTTATTTAACGAGGTGAGAACTAAGAGACCAGGATTATACTCATTTGCAAGGGTGACCTGGGACACCAATTTGACAAAAAGCAAAACCATTAAAAGTACGCAATTAGTCAAATAGAAATTTGAGCAAAAAACAAGAATCACGCCAGATATAAAAAAAATATTGCCCAAACAAGAAATAATGCTAAATAAATTCACTGTAGCGCAAGTTGGCTCTGGCAGTTTATTTTTTACACTGATCTTGGTACAAATACAATTAAGTTACAGAAACATTAAACTGATAAAGAGTGACTTTTCAAATCATATGTAAACACTAAATTATATATTTTAAACGTAATTTCAAGTGAAGTTATCAAAAGGTGTCCATTAATATATCATCATCCTTCTCTTGTACATCCTTCCATTAAAATCTTACGAATTGTGTAATAAAACAAGCATGACGGTGGTATGTGTGGAACTAATCAATGCATCACTATTTTCAACAAGACAGTGAAACCATAAGTTTTTCCCTTTATAGAATTTCCCCCCAAAAAATCCTCACCTTGCTTCGTCCCTGGTACTGGTAGAACATGACTGTGGGATAGCCATGAATACCAGCGCTCTGGCAAACATGTGGGTCATTTTGACAGTTCACCTTTCCAGTTCTTAATTTACCTTTTAGCAGCTGTGAACAAACACAATTTGAAGGGCACGTACAAAACGGATCGTAAATACAACAAATTAATTATATTACAACAGACGTTTATTTACAGTGGCTCAATATTGTCTTTTACACACTAACATTTTACATGTACTGTAAATGTATATACGCCATAAAACTGTGTATTTTATATATACAGATAATAACATGAGGTCATCAAATGGGTCTCTCACCCTTGCTGCGATTTCAAACTCAGGAGCAAATATTTGGCAGTGGCCACACCATGGAGTATAAAAATCGACCAGCCAATGCTCCATCCCTTCTAGCACCTCCGAGTTGAATTTCTGGGGGGTGAGATCTTCTGCTGTTTGAGGCAGGTATCTGTTAGGTGTACAACAAATCCGGTGCATAACACCTCGTTAAGAATTGACAACGTAACTGTTATCACATGTAATAACTACAGCCCTTTGCCAATAATTGTAATGCCGGTAAAAGAGAATACATATACGCATTATCGTTACTTACCCAAAAGCCCATCCCTTCAAAGAGTTGGCATCTCTGTGCCAGCCATTGTACTTGCTGAAATAAAAAATAAAAATCTTTGTCAGTTTGGCATTACAAAATCACAACGTACGAGTTCTACAAATCAAATGGTCATCATGGCTAATGCTATTTATGCTACCAAACCTCTTCCACGTGGCTCAGAGTCTCGAATTGTTCACTCAAATGCCCATATTTCCAACTGTCCTCTCTCCACCCTGCACATGTACCAAAACCCATTGAAACATCCTATTCCTGATTTAAACTTTATCTACCATAAAGTGGTACGAGGAAAATCAAAACCACATCTACTATCTTTTATTCTACTACTTAACATTTCCAGCTTGCAAGCTGCTCTTCTTATCCTGCCACGAAATTACTCGGAAAAATATATTATTTATCATATTTATAAATCAAAAGATAATTTATGAATATATTCAAATTTCATGAACAAAAATCTTGCAAATACATATATCGTGATTTTAATAAAAATTTGACCAAGAAGCAAAGCACTTATCGCGGACAACCATATGTGTTTTTGTGTAAAGCAGTCAAGAAAGTATAAAACTACTTACAAATATTTGTCAGAGCTAGCTGGATTCATGGGGAAGAGTCGGATTTCAGGATAGGCATGAACCATTTCACTTTGACACAGGGCATGGTGCTTCTGGCAGTCCACGCTTCCCACTTGCACCATACCTGACAGCATCTAGAAACCCCAAAAATGCACACACAAAAGAGTGGCAATGCAATAATTGCAGGGAAATTAATAAATAAAAGTGTAAAACCGTGCTTAAGTATGTAACAGATAAAAGTGGCCACGGGTGGAATTCACATACCAGAAGGTTATGTCACAGATATTTATTGTTATATTATAAATGTATATTCCAAGGTATTTCCATGCAATTTTATTCATTGTAAGTTTAGCATATGGATAAAATACAATTGTTTGGGAATAAAAATGTTGTCTCACGGAGTATGTAAAAGCAAAAAATAACGAAAGAAAATACGTGTAAGACAAAGTGTGAATGTACGAAAGCAGTTGTTCATTTGTAGATGAAGATTGCCTCCTCCTGGCCATTTATCGAAAAAGCAACTTCAAGCTTGTGAATTAACAGAACACCAACATGATGGTTGAAAACACAGCTCGGCGGTAACATTCACAACAATAGCAAAGTACTTCTCGGCCAATTGTGCCAGATCGGACTTAAAAACGAATTTGGCAACCTCATTTTTAAGGCAAACATTTTTTTACTATTTTGTACTCAAAAGTCACTTTACCATATGCACATATTCTGCCAATCAGGTTCAACATTCTGTGACTTGACATTTGAATACATTTGATATTCAACAAGAAACGTCAAAAAAGTAGAGCCCACCACCCACAAGACAGATGCACCCCTAAACCATGTCTCCCATGTACACATTGCACAGGCGTGTGCACGTGCGTAGGCAATGCACTGACCCGAGCCATACGCTTCCACTCTGGCAGGAGGGCCTGACAGGGCCCACACCAGGGAGCGTAGAAATCGACCATCCAAACTTCATCTCTCTTTCTCTGCTTCACCAGGGAAACGTACGTCTCTGGGGTCAGTGTGACCACTGACGGGCTCATCAGATCCTGAAATGCCATAATTAAGATAATTGGTTATGTCTGCAATTTTGTAATTACGACAAAGCCAAAAATAACACAATATAGTGACAATATAAACAGTGGCTGTAACCACGCCCACTCTTGAGATGGTCAATTTATCCACACTGTATTTAAAACATACTGAACACAATTTAGATTATTGAATCCTCTCCTGTTAACAGCAAAAACGAGGGCATCCTCCAACATGTTCATATGTTATAAGCCATTTCATGCATGACTCATTCCAGAATGTTATATTTAACTTTTTATAGCTGCCTATTTGGACTTATTTCAATAAGATATCTCCATTGTTTAGCATTGGTTTTCTCATAAGTACAACTAGTTTTTCTTTTTATGAAAATATAACTTTGTATATCCTGAATCACCACCAGTTTCTGTAAAATAATAGGGTATATTCTTGGCTCTTTCGGTAAAGTCACGTAGAAAGGTTCAAAGAAAATAACAAAAAATTACAAAAAACTATGACGTTTCGATCGCAACACAAGCAATCGTCATCAGGAGAAAAAATAGCGGGAAAACTGCTGAGGCAGGATGTTTTAAAGGTTTGAAATGGGTGTGGCCCAAGGGTCATAGGCGGAGTGGGCGGGACTACTGATGTTAAAGTGAAAAATTTGCATGTCAATGTAAGATCGGAGAGCTACCTCCACGACGACAAAGCTGTGGACAAGGCCATTGTATTGTGAGAGATTAGCATGTCAAGATCGCAGAGCCACCGCCACATCGAGGAAAATGAGCAACGGTGGCTGTGTTAGTGAGACATTTAACCTGTTAATGTAAACCTGTTAATGTAAAACCAGAGAATCGAAAATAACTACTAACATCGGAAGGTAGGATGGAAACATCACAGCCAGTTATGACTTAAACTGGTTAATAACGTCCTTCCAATGATTGCTCAGTGTGTACCCATCTTCTCTGTTGAAATTGTGTCTGTGCCTATATATATGGATGGCTTCATCCATATATATAGTTAGATGGCTTCATCCATATATATAGTACCTTCGTCTTAGAGAAATACATTTCGTGAGCCCACCGCATTAAAACAATGTTCAGCCACGGCCGAGGTATTTGGTCCTACCGTGTTTCAGATCTGCCTTATGTTCACGAACACGGTCCGAGACATGTCGCTTAGTTTCCCCAATGTAACTACTGCCGCAGACACAGCTTAGTTTGTAGACGCTGGGGTATTGCATGTCAGGGATCACATCCTCCACAGATGGGATCAGATCACGGATTTTATGTACTGTGTTAAATCGAACCTGGATTTTGTGTTTGCTCATGATTTTGGAAATCTTTTTAGCCTTAGCAGCCTTCCCGGTATTTTTTCTCCTGATGATGATGGCTTGTGTTGCGATCGTCATAGTTTTTTGTCATTGTGTTATTTTCTTTGAACCTATCCACGTGACTTTACCGAAAGACCCAAGAATATGAATTCCTGCAGTCATGAAAGCTTTAAGTCAAAATAATAGGGCTTATTTTTGGACAATTGTATTATTTTTTCATATCAATTTACTTATTTCATAATAACTGGCCAAGTGTCAATTATATAATTTACAACATCTTGCTTTGTGTTTACACTGCACTAGCTATTGGTATTTATGGCAATTGTTTAAAGATTTTATACAGATAGTTTTGCCCACACCCCCAAGATATTATAAGTACCTTACGTAATTTTTTTTTAATTGTGATCAATGCAACATACAATATACGTATTATTTTCTTCAGTAAAATAGACCACCTTTGTCAAACTTGCTTAATTTCCGTGGATAGGCAAGCTAGTTTAGAATATACATTAATATTTGTTTAATCTTGAATCAAAACTTAGATTCCATCAGCCACATATTAGGATGTTAATAGATGACGAATATCTATAAAGTTTAAGCAAAATGAGAATGCTGCTTGTATAGTATTATGTACCTGTACGTATTCCATCAACTGTTCAGCACTGTGCTGTCCATTGTATTCATGGATGTTGCTCTGGTTAAATATCAGTGTTGTCGGGTACGCATGGATCCCGTGCTGCAAAAACAAACATGCTTCCAAAGTTCAAAGACAAACAGCATAGTTTATGATTGGTGTCACTGGATTATCAGCACAGAGAACAGAATATGTTATTAGCTTTACAAATCCATCATGTCATTTGTGACCGAGAAGGTGAACTACAGAGAAAATAAAACGTTTCATTCAGACTGATGTCATGCTTACAGCTGTTAAAGCATGCCATTTCTGTTGCAATAATCAGAACATGAGGCATGGCACACGAGTAATGAACACCTATATTTACGTAATACACCAGCAATATTGATTCAAATAAGAAAGATAAATGCTTTAGCACAAAGCACTACTGTACATACTAGAAAGGATTTCTAAACATGACATATATATATGCTTAAACAGCATAACTAATGAAGAGAAGGTACCTATAAAACACATTAAACAATGACGCTATCTTTAAATAAATGTAAAGATATTTACACTTGCTTGCATGCATCCCTTACATTACCGAACACATAAAAGGCATATTTTTACTTGTGTATTAAAGCAAAACTCTTTTCCCGAATGTAGACACATACCAAGATACTGCACTTAAAAGTCCAAAGTGATAATTAAATAACCTAAAACATATAGACCACCTCACACTACAACTGTCATAGACAATCTCACCAGGTTACAGATCTTGCTGTGAATGGTGCAGTCGATAGTTCCAAACTTGAGCTGTCCTGTCAACAGCCGGGAGGCCTTCCTCAACTCTGGCAGGAGGGCTCTGCATGGAGGGCACCACTGTGGGAAGGACACGGACCAAAAAAAACCACAAAGGTCACCTGAATTTCGATTTAAAGCTTTCGTGACTGCAAGGATTCATCTTCTTTGGTTCTTTCGGTAAAGTCACGTAGAATGAGAATAAAATAATACATAGATAAAATAAAATAACACAATAAAATTCTCACGACGTTTCGGCCACAACACAATTGTGTTATTTTATTTTATCAATTTATTATTTTATTCTCATTCTATGTGACTTTACCGAAAGAACCAAAGAAGAAAAAGGTCACCTGCTTATCCTTAGGCACTCTAGCAGGAAGGGCCGTTAGGCAGACCATTGAGGACCGCACACCAGCCAACCTTATTACACCATGTCACTTAAGGCTAAAGCAACCTAGGGAAGACCCAGGGTAGCTTCAGATGGGAATCGATCCTAAGTTCCTGGGCTTGTAGTGCAGTAGACAAACCACGCTACCGCTGCCAAACTACATTTCCAAACGACGACACTGCTTCAAACATAGTCGGTAATGAGTGATAGACAACAATTACCCGACCCTTATCCGTTTACAATTTCAGAACTGGTGTAACCCCGGAGGAGAGAGAAAAAAATCATACGGGAGCAAAAAAGTCGATCAGCCAGGGTTCCTTGTCTTTCTCCGGGAAAGTCTCTGGGCTGAGTGTGTGTACCAACGAGTTGACACTCTCCTTCGCAAAGGATACGAGCTCATACAGTGTAGTTTTACCTGCGCGGGGGGAAAAAAAAGACCTCACAATGAATGAATTTCACCGAGCGTGTCATGTCCGCAACACATACTGTTAAGTTTTCAAAGCAACGTTGAAACTAATATTGAAGCTTACCATGGTGTATTTCATATTCATGGAGACCTTTTCCTTTAAATACAACAACTGCCCGGCTGTTGATGTACAGTTGGTCACAAATGTAAGGGAATGGATTGCAATCAAGTGTTCCAACCTGTGAATGAGCATTTTGTGAGTTAGCACTATTACGTTTCATATTGTAAAAAAGAAAATCACATAAATCAAACAGCAATGCAACACGTACATAATACCATTACGTTTAAATTATATAATGAAAGACTCCTATATACATATAAAAATAAACATTAGCAGACAAACTAATAAAAAATGTGATGGAACAATATTGAATGGAGTGGTTAAAAAAAACCCCTCTATAACGTTCAAATAGATCTTTATTTTGCTTTAGTCAATCAGAAAAATGAAAATTCAGTTTGAATGCTTGAGAATTGCCTCTCGCCTCCTCATCTCACCCAGCCACCTCCAATACTGTCTTAAAGTACCATTTTTGGTTTCATAAGACTGTAAACATTATTCTGACCTCAACAGCTTGTTCACATTTTGTAAAAATTATACTAAAAGAAATGTGTAAACAGACACGGGAAGAGATGCACCACCTGTGTTACCTTTGCATATGAAACATGTAATCTCAACTGCAGAATGCTGTTTGTGAAATCTTCCTTGCATGAAGCCATTCCATTTATCAAACTATTTTATACAAACACTTTTTCCACTTTGACAATTTACATTTACTTCATGTTTATCTGCTTCTTACCTCATGCTCATTTTATTATCCTGCCTGCTCGACAAATTATATGTACACCCTTGTATGTTGACACTATAAACTGAAACTACATTCCACTCGATATTATAATAGCTAAAGGTACATTTTATTTTAAGAGACTGTTTTCTCATATAACTAAAGCTATATATATAAAAAAAGCAAAACACAGTGACATTCACACCTTTATATTTTTCGATTTGAGCAGTGTATTTAGTTTTTTGAACTCGTAATCTCCTGCCTCTCCCTTGTCTCCAAAGACGATGAAAATGAGCCAAGGGCTTTGCAGGATCTGTTTCGGGAACGAGATAATGCATCAGTGCAGTCATCATTGTTATACGAGCGTATACGACTACAAATATGGAAAGCAAAATGTTCATCTGTTGTTGCCTTTCTCACCTTCATGTCGGCGCCGGTAAGCTTCTCCAGAGCAGGGAGGGCTTGCATCACAGATATATAAATCTCCTTGGCATCAAGACTCTTCAGAACCTACACAGAATACATCATCATGGCATTAAGTATGTATTTATAATGTAGTAACACGTTTTTACAATTTACAACATTGCATTTAAAACATTTGTTTTTTATAAGAGCTCTATCATTATGACATGAGGCAAAACAAATATTGAGGAATGGCTGTTCACATCTCTGAAAATTTCCCAGCTGATCAATCTGCTTGTTTGATAAAGCTTTATATTATAACCATACTATACTCAAGCTTTGCTTGACATCACAGTTACATTTAAAACGGGTTTAAGATGATGCGTGTGCCTATTTTTTCAGTTTACGACGCTGTCACCAAACACACAGCACAAGGGTGTAAGGTTAAAGTTCATACTTTCATTGTTATTAATTAGGCATCTTGAGAGTTTCTATGAGATTATAAGTCCAGTCGTTGATGCACGTGTGTACAGGACCAGCTAATCTGAAGCTTAAATAATTGTAACGTGCTATATATCAACTCCAACAGCAAATGTACAACTGCATAATGATGATCAGTACAATATACAAGTATTGTTTTTGTGCGAGTGTTTAACCAAAGCTTTGAAGGTCCATTGCTGGAGGAATTAGCTTTCCCATAGTGGCATGCATTGAATACCAGAGAATGGTCAGCATCATTTTCACCGGACTTGATAGGGCTTTCGCCTGGTGGGTAGAAGACTGTCTTGCTCTCCTCTATGTTCATCTGCGAGCAAATGTGTTTTTGGGTGCTGCAGTCCACCCAGCCCACATTTGCCATTCCATCCTGTGGGAAGGGTATGCAATGTCTGCCATCAACATTATATGAGATGTAAAGCAAGGTGTTTTCATCTCAACAATTCCACAAACAAGACACACCTGCAATAACACTTCATGATTAAACTGATAATACCAAACCATTATATTAATGTATTTACCAGTTCTATACCGCGAGATTATTTCATTAGGTGAATAAGCCAACTCAAATTCATGACAACTAAAACAAATCGTATCACTCACCAACATTCCAGCGAGCTTACGCCTGGTGTGCTGAGATAAGCAATCTGCAACACCAAAATACACAAGGCAGAATACAAATATGTATGATACAAAAAAACAGCAGACTTCCTTTGGAGAAACCCAACCACCTGGTTGTTGTATGTTTACATACACCGTCTAGATATTCTACAGCAAACGAATATGACATTGTTAACATAGCATTAATAACAGTAAAAGTAGTATGGTATTATAAACTGGCCATATTCTGGTTTTTGCAAATGGAAAATTTTCGCAAAGTTTGCGATTGGATGGAAAGATTGACTCCTGGTCTAAGCATTGCAAAACACATGGTTGACACATCCTTCAGCGAAAAAATAATTTTGGCTGCCTCTCTGTCAGTGATTTACTCATCGAGCCTTGGACTTGCAAAGCCTACAAAGCTGAGACAGATCTTGCCATGAAGGCCATGTAGAATGAGATTTAGTTTAGAATCACAAATACTGATTTTCCTGTTCATACTTAATCTGCGATTGGAACCCAGGAATAAATTAGCATTTTTTAGGGATATGCTGCCAGCCTTTGTGAAAATGGTTTCTCATTTACAAATAGTTAAAATGTTATAATAACCTGTATTGTGCAACATTCCCATTAACAGATATATAATTACTATTTAAATTATTGGTGAAAGGTTGGGTAAAACACATTTAACTTTGTATATGTGATTACCATAGGGTATTCCAAATGTTAACTTGAAAAACAGAGCACAAGCGCTCCTTCCAGAGACCACCTGAGGTTGAGCTAAATGTTTTACGACATCAGCATCATAAAGGTTTGGAGCACATTTCTTCATGCAATAACTTCCCATTGAAGCTATTCATACCTAAAAAAGGAAAACATTCCAGTAAAATTTTCCTTTATTTATACTGGAATGGAATCATTTTTAGGACGTGACTTATCCATCCCTAGATGTCATGAAACGTATGCTTTTAATAGCACACACTAAATTATAATTTCAATTGATAAGTTAGTAATTGCATACGACTCTCCCATGGTGATGTATGAACAGAGCAATGCAAGATGACACATTGTGAAAGATTGCTTTTCGCTATAATATCGGACTACACGCTAATCATGTTAATACATTTGTCTTCGCTAACAATCAATTCCGTCTCGATTGTAAGTAGCTTTGAAGTGGGATACAGTTTGCCCATTCTAATATCTTTTTTGGCCTCCAGACTCCCTCCAGTGGCCTGGAGAAACATACTTTGCACACTGACTATTCCAGTCTAACATCCCTTAACTGTTCAAAGAGGACCTTAAGCTTATACAATGTCAGTTATATGGAGAAATTACTAAAAAAAAATATCCACAAAACACATGCGTTTCGTTCAAAAATAAACGAAGTGAGATAGTCTTCATGACTAAGTCATCAGCAGGACTTGATGAAAGAAACAGTTTTTAAAAATACACAGAAGTTCTGGAATTATTTTCGATTTAACGGACTGAAAATTTATGGAAAAAACTCCACATTAAATACATGGAATCTGATTTAGAATACACAAATTCACATAAGTGTAATGATATACATGTTTAACAGCAGCAAAATACATACAGTGAGGGAAAAAAGTATTTGATCCCCTGCTGCTTTTGTACGTTTGCCTACTGACAAAGAAATGATCAGTCTATAATTTTAATGGTAGGTTTATTTGAACAGTGAGACAGAATAACAACCAAAAAATCCAGAAAAACGCATGTCAAAAATGTTATAAATTGATTTGCATTTTAATGAGGGAAATAAGTATTCGACCCCCTCTCAATCAGAAAGATTTCTGGCTCCCAGGTGTCTTTTATACAGGTAACAAGCTGAGATTAGGAGCACTCCCTTTAAGAGTGTGCTCCTAATCTCAGCTCGTTACCTGTATAAAAGACTCTTAAAGGGAGTGCTCCTAATCTCAGCTTGTTACCTGTATAAAAGACACCTGTCCACAGAAGCAATCAATCAATCAATCAGATTCCAAACTCTCCACCATGGCCAAGACCAAAGACCTCTCCAAGGATGTCAGGGACAAGATTGTAGACCTAAACAATGCTGGAATGGGCCACAAGACCATTGCCAAGCAGCTTGGTGAGGCAACAACAGTTTGTGCGATTATTCGCAAATGGAAGAAACACAAAAGAACTGTCAATCTCCCTCGGCCTGGGGCTCCATGCAAGATCTCACCTCCTGGAGTTGCAATGATCATAAGAACGGTGATGAATCAGCCCAGAACTACACGGGAGGATCTTGTCAATGATATCAAGGCAGCTGGGACCAGTCACCAAGAAAACAATTGGTAACAAACTACGCCGTGAAGGACTGAAATGCTGCAGTGCCTGCAAGGTCCCCTTGCTCAAGAGAGCACATATACATGCCTGTCTGAAGTTTGCCAATGAACATCTGAATGATTCAGAGGACAACTGGGAGAAAGTGTTGTGGTCAGATGAGACCAAAATGGAGCTCTTTGGCATCAACTCAACTCGCCGTGTTTGGAGGAGGAGGAATGCTGCCTATGACCCCAAGAACACCATCCCCACCGTCAAACATGGAGGTGGAAACATTATGCTTTAGGGGTGTTTTTCTGCTAAGGGGACAGGACAATTTCACTGCATCAAAGGGACGATGGACGGGGCCATGTACCGTAAAATCTTGGGTGAGACCCTCCTTCCCTCAGCCAGGGCATTGAAAATGGGTCGTGGATGGGTATTCCAGCATGACAATGACCCAAAACACACGGCCAAGGCAACAAAGGAGTGGCTCAAGAAGAAGCACATTAAGGTCCTGGAGTGGCCTAGCCAGTCTCCAGACCTTAATCCCATAGAAAATCTGTGGAGGGAGCTGGAGGTTCGAGTTGCCAAACGTCAGCCTCGAAACCTTAATGACTTGGAGAAGATCTGCAAAGGGACAAAATCCCTCCTGAGATGTGTGCAAACCTGGTGGCCAACTACAAGAAACGTCTGGACCTCTGTGATTGCCAACAAGGGTTTTGCCACCAAGTACTATGTCATGTTTTGCAGAGGGGTCAAATACTTATTTCCCTCATTAAAATGCAAATCAATTTATAACATTTTTGACATGCGTTTTTCTGGATTTTTTGTTGTTATTCTGTCTCTCACTGTTTAAATAAACCTACCATTAAAATTATAGACTGATCATTTCTTTGTCAGTGGGCAAACGTACAAAATCAGCAGGGGATCAAGTACTTTTTTCCCTCACTGTAGAATCCTGTATCAGTCATGTAATGCATTTCTAAGCAGCTGCATAGCACATGCACTTAGAATCTGGTTATCACTATGTAAATACTAACAGAAAGAGACATGAGGATGTCATACATTAATAGCCGTGTTATCCAGCTGCGATGTGTTTCTTTTATAAACACTAATAGTAGAAAAATAAATAATACAATTTATATTAGGCTAGGCCCATACGTATATTACCTAACGCAAGAGAAAAAGTCTGACGAGTGTAGGACAGTGGGCAAAAAAATATATAAGACCAAGATGGTGTATCTGGGTTTTGAGGTCCAAAGAAACTAAAATAACGCAAACCCTGAAACAATATGTGCACACACCATGCATGAATGAAGGAATTTTAAAGTTAAATAGGATACAGCATGTTTGCACCCGCGATTATGAAGTTCCAATGGAAATGTTTTACACGTATCCAATATTACACATGGCAACGCATGGCACGAGGATTGCTGCAACACCGCATATGTATGGAAATGATTAACATTCGTACACGTGTCGTTTGACCATGGCAAAACCACACGTTGACTAAAAAACGTATTTGTCAACCCACATGTCCATAAGTCATTGGCTAAGCAAACTACTGTCCTTGAAAAGCAGAACTTTGCATATATGGTAACTCTATATTAAGAGAACTGAAGTTAATGTGGTTTTACTAGATATTCATATGATATCTGAAATTTGACTAATTCAAATCAAATGAGTAGCACATGCAATACCATGTAAAACCAGGATTTTTTACACTACTCTTTACATTTATGATATGAAGTTAGGTGATACTGTAAATACACCAAAATATTAGGTTTGTATTAAGGTAATAATGCGGTGAGATTTAAAATAGCTTGGAGACTAACAATGAAAGCACCCATGTAATAAATGCATTTTTTTAATGGAATATTATTTCCTTCCAGGCTGTAAATCAGCAAGCCTCAGCTCCTTTGTTTATTCCCAAATACGCAAGCGGTAATAACAAAACACCTCTATGATTTAGCACCATGGAAATGTGTGCATCAGCAGTGATGTAATTAATGCCAGGGGGTAAGGGAAACCTCCCAGATATAGCAAAGCTTTTCACCCCTTTGGGAGATTTATCAAGATTATATAGAATAAAGACTGCAGTTAATTAAGGCCCTAAAATGGTCTGAAAATGCCTTGGCTACAGTCAACAAGCAATACAGCCAGCACTGGAGTGCACCAATGAAAACGTGCACTTTTAACAGAGCTTATTTTAGCTAAAGTAAAAGGTTACTCAGAAACAAAGATTGATTTAATTTGTTTAAACGTGCCAAACTACAATAACAAATGTAACTTTCCTTTTTATAGGGAAGATATATAGTTATTCATTAACAGTACATTGCTAGATCAAAGCCATCACTATGCTTGCTGTTTCCATGAAATCACACAGTGGAAACATCGCACTCTCAACTGTCCAGGGTCACCATGAGCTTAATAAAGTGCAAGGTAGGACCCAATTACCTCCGATGTCCGAGCAGTAGGAAAGGAGCCAGCCTGTCTCTGTAGATCCAGCCTGTTCGAAAGCGTTAACAAAATTACCTGCACAAGACAAAGCACGCCAGATGATGTTGCATGACCATTAAAATGTCATTCCCCATGAGAGGCAGGGAATGACGGAATGCAATATTAATGAACCGTGAACACTGATAGTTACGAGGATTAGATTCATACATTCATTTTCAGTGTAAGTAAAGTATTCACAGGCAAAATAATAAGACAGCAAATCCATGTATTTATACTGAACAAAGAACATGACCAAGAATAAAAAAATATATCAGGCTGAAAACCTTTCTTTCAGTATGGTCACTGACACCCCTCATTTCATTTGTATGTGTTTAACTCTTTTCAATTCCTCTCTGTGATTGCTCCCTCTGTTTCAAAAAGCATAGAGGATATTTAGCAAGGCACACAGATGCAGAAGCAGCAGCAGCAACAAGTGCATATCTCCTCGTGTCTGCGTACACATTTCCTCTTTTATTTATCTCACTTTAGGTTTCCAATGTGCAATTTTCAAAGAAGAGAATCCGGAACACTATATAGTGTGTACAAATCTTGGTGGCAAAGTAATTACACCAGGCTTCCGAAAAGTAACATTGTATTGCCTTTCTCTGATCTTGTTCCACAGTTTTACTTTACCCTTGCTTTATCTGATGTTCTGCATATTTGTTTGCTTTGTCTCTCCCTCTATAAAGTATATTTTTACCCATATATTTATGGGGGAAAAGGAAAATTAATTTTCAATTATGCAGGCTTGGAATTAAAATTCATATATAAAGGAAATGTTTGCTTTCTTGACATTTATTAATTTGTCGCTAATATAAATATTTAATGCAATTCATATTCAAGCATAATCAATGTCACATTAATCCATACATAAATACATATATAAAATAACATTACCAAGAGCATTTAAAATATTAACCTTATCATGATATTCTTACCAGCCCAGAGCTCCGTTACTTTACTGGTTACGTACTTCATGACGAATCTGACCAGATCATCTTTAGACCTATCTCCCGAGTACTTGACTGGTTGCTGAAATATGGGAAACACAACAAGCACAATCACCCAGTTAATTTTTAGATGTTTCTTAAAATTTCATGTGGGCATGAGTTTGTACATTTGGTGAACGAGAGTATGGTAACCTTATTCTTAGTTTTTGTTGTTTCTCTTCAACGTGACTTTACCGAAAAAACTAAGAATATGAATTACTGCAGTCACGAAAGCTTTAAATCAAAATTTTATGGTAACCTTGTAAAATTATTAAATATGTTAACCTGACATTATCACAGCTTTACAAACAAGAAACCATTACATTTGAAAAGGGTGCTCAAATCAACGTTTTGATTTTTGCCGTCATGAATATGGTAGTGAATATATCCACTGGATATTATATTTACATTTCGTTGATGTATAGCAGGGCTCTGATGATAATGTATTTATAGGGGGTATATTAAAGAGGACATTAGTATAAAAATCACTGTCAGGAGGAAGACAATCTATGCCTTCATTGACTAAGCCAAGTGTTACTTTTCACACTGGCTTGCCCATCTTGTAATATAATTACCCAGGTTTCTAATGCTATAAAAACATTTAATTTAAAAAACCAATACACATACCTGAAGGAGTATTATTAAATGATCAAGAGAGATTTTGGATATGATCAAATAATATACTACGTTTATGACAAGTGTCAATTATTGTCTAAATCAAGCGTTGAAAAAGTGCCCCGGCGAAACACAACTGTCCCCAGCGACAACATGTTCTACTAATGCGCCCTAATTAACGTGCCCCTGTAGACGCAGAACACAACCTACCATTCCAGCCCGATAGACGTACAGGCTGGGATAGCTGCCGATTCCCTTGGAGCGGCACATCATGCGGTTATCGCCACAATTCACCGCCGCCACTCGGATCACGCCATCCATCTCCTTGGCAAATTCTCGCCACTTAAAACGAAAAAGAGGAAAACATCCAAGGGTGGATGGGGTTTGTAACAGAGAATCACGATGAAAGCATGAAAACACCGGTGTTGTGACACGACATGTGTGCATGCACACCTTCCCACATATAAAGTCTGCGCAACATGCTGCATATAGAGGGAGGGAACGCACCATAGGAGCCAGCTCATGGCAATGAGAGCAGCGTGGTGAGTAGAAGTTTACAAAAAATAATTCCCCTGAAGACACCGCAGCATCTGTGAATTACAATAAAATGGAAGCACTGAAATAAAGCAAAGAATTAAACAAGTTACTGCACTACTTCATTTTACCTCTCTGTTTATTATATTGGGTTTTTTTTGTTTCAATGAAAAGTTAACTTTAGGAAACATTTTACGTTTGGAAAAAATAATTCATTTGAGGGGGATTTTATTTTATTTCAAAAGCATTCGTGCAATACTTTTACACATAAAGCAATTATATGGCTTTTTTACTGTAGGGCAGTAATAGTGAGATAAAAAAATACACATTTTAGCATTGCTATTATGCAGCCAAATGCTTCACTACAATTGGTCTCAAAGATTGCGCAGCACTTGGGTTTTAAGAGTGGCAACCTGATAATTACAGGAAATACCAGAGTGCTGACTGCTGTGGACACATGCCACATAGCTGTACACTCACGAACACAACCAGAGAAACAACACGAATCCCAACATAGACATGGCGAATGCTGCATTTAATAATTATCGAAACATTTATTTTCAGGGGACAAATTAAATAAAGACTTTACATTTTATATTTGGTTGTTTAAAATATGATTCTAAGTTTATATCGTACCAAATTCTCCTCTGTCAAGTGTCAGAACTTCTGCATCGTCATCATAAATTCCTATGGGTAGGAGAAAAAAAACATGCAAAACAGTTACACTATTTCAAAACATGGCATGGATATTTCAATACTCTTGAAATTGTTTAACCAATGTTTTCAATTGGGGTCCTTAGACCATTAAGAGTGAATACTGATCATTAGGCAGTCCAGATATAATTACAAGGTTAAAAAGCATTAGGAGTTCCAGGATTGATATTACAGTCCGACCTCACGAGATTATGCCCACGCACCCACACTGGTCTGGTGGCAAAAGGTGATAGCGTCGCCAATTTTGACTTAAAACTTTCGTGACTGCAGGAATTCATATTCTATGGTTCTTTCGGTAAAGTCACGTAGATAGAAACAATAATAACAATAATAAAATAATAAAAAATAAAGTGAAGACAAAATTATAAAAATATCTCGACGTTTCGATCGCAACACAAGCAATCGTCATCAGATGAAAAAAAAAGTTTACAATACTTCTACAATAACATCTACACAACATATATTTCACTATAAGAGAGCTGTGGCATAGCAGTGAACAAACCATAAAAGTAGCCCTGATAGCCGTTTGAAATGAGTGGGTTATCAAGTTATTTACTATTCTATTATTTAATTTATTTTCTTTCCACGTGACTCACCGAAAGAACCAAAGAGTAATTCCTGCAGTCACGAAAGCTTCAAATCAAGTTTTATTCACTACTATTAGCTATGTAAATGCAATGGTATGATACGAGTTTTTGTACCGTAAAGTGGTACCAATTTCTTAACTGGCCCATGGACTATAAAGATTCTGATAAACGATTGTGCAGTTGAAGCACCTTTCAGCATCCTTACCAAAGTCATAGCGATAAAAGTTCCAGCTCTCATAGCGGCCACCCTGCTGTTGATCATCCAGCCCCTTCTCGCCATATTTGTCGTATTTCTTCCTCAGCTCTTCGTCCTTCAATACCTCATATGCCCGGTTGATCTTCAGGAATTTTTCATGAGCATCAGGATCATCCTGGTCAGCAAAACGGCATCAAAAGTTTATGAATAACAAGGAAAACAACCAAGCTGCACCTCTCAATGAGCGTTGATTTGTGTAATCGAAGCTGCTGCTAGGGTGCAAGCAAAATGCCTAAAAGAAAACCACACCAGCGCTCAGCATTTATTTCAGTACTTATGTTGTCATAGCGTTTGTAAGTTAACAATGCACACACATTTTAGAGATTTTTACACAATGGTATGGTGTCATAATTGTGCCAACACTTTAATGAATCGGAATACTTGCATCTGGATAATAAAATAAAACACCATTATCAGCCATGATCTATATGCCAAGCTCTAGCCATTCCTCAAGATTTCATGAAGTAGAAAACCATATAGGTCCAGTACATGGGCCGATTTCATCACTGAATCTCCAACATGTAAATTGAAAATAATGTGCTACAGTAATACATTTTTGAGTTGTTGCACAACACTCTATGTCAAGCAATAATTTTTATTGCAGGCATTGTGGCTAAAGCACAACATTTTAAATGTGCTATTTTTAGGTATTTATGAAATGAACACAAACAAGATGGTGTACAATGTGTCAAAATCTCGAACTCCATTATATTAAACATTATATTATTACTTTCTGTCAAATAGCAATAAAAAAGTTATTGCTATGATGTTGCCCAATTGATGCATTTCTTTGATCAAATTTAAAATCAATTCTTTATTTTCTGCATCAAAACGTACTGGTCACAGAGGCAACGGTCAAATTACCCTGCTGTATCCTTTTAAAGTTCTTATCAAGAGCTCTTCACAACGTTTAAGGGCCCTACCAAGACAATCACACAGGCTATTCCACCTCTCTACAGCTCATTTAACAAGCCTCAGCATTGGCAGTGAAAATCAATACCCTACTTTGTGGAGCAGGTGAGGCTGAACTCATCACAGTTTACGGCTATAGCTAAACAAAACTCCCACTGAAGGATATGCTAACCTTTTTACCATCGCCCATATATTATAAGCGTTATTGCTGAACAATATGTAGTTGTTGTTTGAAACTTCACTTTCCTTATTCGTGACCAACTCTAATTTGCAAGAAAATGCAATGGACAAGGTACAGTGCCGAGTATGACAATAAACCCCAAAGGCAAATATTTGCAAGAGAGGCCCTCCGAAACTGCCACGCAAACCTTTACCGCATGACGCAGCTTCAATTGTCTCTAGTGGATAGCATGAGAAATATTACGCCGACATATAAAATAACCACAGCTAAATGTGCAAGAGCCAATTACCACTGTTTACTTCTCAAAACCAAGGCAATCACAGTTTAAAAAGTAGTATTACAAAATAGATTAAAACACTGAATCAATGTTCTTTATTCCAAATGTCAAGAGACACCGATGCAACACATTACACACACTACACCATGGGATATATTATACAATGATCAACAGTTTTTTTTTTCCCACAGTACAGTAAAATTGTGTTGAAATTGTATGTTGTTTATAAAATCTACTGAAAAATTAATCAAAAAGCTTCACCATTAACAACTCACCTGGTTTTTGTCAGGATGCAAGGTAAGTGCCAGCTTCTTAAAGGCCTTGCGGATGTCCCTGCTGCTGGCATCACGTGCAACGTCCAGCCTCTGGTAGTAGTCGTCATCCCCTATGACCAGTGCCACGAGACAGAGCGGCAGGAGCAACCGGAGCAGCATGGCCGAGGCACTAGTGAGGTTGCCCTGCTGATGTGCACACCATCCAGACGTGTTTCCCTCTGCGTCGTGCAAAATGTCCACCTTTTTTTTCCTCACCCTATTGGATGGTGCTTCTTCCTGTGAATGCAATACAAATTGCTACAGCATGGTAGTGAACACTTCATTATAATATAAACATGAGTGCATACGATACCACAAAGCGAGTGGCTTCCGCATCGGAAATACCAGTTACGTAAAATATAACTTGCGTTTATCATAGAAGACTTAAAATTGTAGGAAACTGAAATGCCAAATAACATTTCAGAAGACCAATGTCACAAACGGCTTTACATGAATTGTATAGTAGTTGTACAGCACTTATGTAATTCACTACTGGATACAGACCTCTGCCCCCACACTGTGTGGGTATTATTTGACAATACTGCACCAAGCTGGTCAATGTGGGTTGGTGAAGGCTGGCAGCATAGACATGGGAGCATTACGAGTATTACACTCTGTTCCTCACAATGCAGCCCCTGGGCAATTTGCTTGGATGGTAAATTAATTAAAATGAATGTACAGGACAGGATCAAGGGGGAGCCAGGCTGTGTGAAGCCACGAGTGGCATTCGTGCAATGGTTGGCTTGGTGAATTCAGTAAATGTTGATGTAAGAGGTTTCAATGGTTAATCTGGTCAACACCAACTGGCTGAAATTGACCTCAATACCAGCTGATTAGTATTGACCCGATTCACCATTGAAATGTATGGTCAATGTCTCATGGAATGAATTGGCTGGATTCCACCCTGATTCGGGCATGGCTATCAGGCTATAGAGGTGAGGGTCCATTGGGCCTGGCTGGCCATGTAAAACTGCCAGTGAAATACATGGCAACCATGCTGGATGATTCCCACTAAACCTTATCAATTTTGGGATGGATGGGTTTCTACTGGGCAATTCCTTATACGACAGAATCTGTGTGTGAATGCCACAAGTAAAGATTTAAGCATGATAATCGACTGAAGAAGAATCGTGATTCCTGCTGGGATCACTCATGGTTAAATCATGGAATGTGGATTTAGATTCACGTGTTGTGCAGTAGAACCAAACGGCAAAGTCACGTAGGTAGAAAAAATAATAGATCACGACATTTCGATCGCCACACAAGCAATCGTCTTCAGGTGGGAGGGAGAGAGAAACAGGCTGCTGAAACAAGTCCTTATATGTAGAGCCGAGAGGGGGGGAGGGGGTGGTTGCCGCATCAGGCAAGAGGGTGGAGGCTAGAGATCATGCCTAAGCGAATGGGAAATCCAAAGATGGGAACCGAGATGGGGGGGGTGTGGTTGATGCGAGAGCTGCGAGGACTAAGGAGGTGGCCATTGTATTGTGAGAGATTAGCATGTCAATGTAAACGAACCAACGCAGCGGTGGCTGTGCTAGTGAGACATCCAGCTCGTTAGAACACGAGGGTAACAAACGAGGGACAACACCACATCGAGGGAAGGAGAGACACACACCGAGAGGCACACCCACGCACACAGAGAGACACACACAGAGACACACAGAGAGACACACACAGAGAGACACACACAGAGAGACACACACAGAGAGACACACACAGAGAGAGACATACATACACACACAGAGACAGAAGAGAGAGACATACAGGGAGACACACAGAGAGACACACACAAACCAAGAGACCTCTCCCGCCTCTCTCGGCTCTATATATAAGGACTTGCTTCAGCAGCCTGTTTCTCTCTCCCACCTGAAGACGATTGCTTGTGTGGCGATCAAAACGTCCTGATCTATTATTTTTTCTACCTACATGACTTTACCAAAAGAACCAAAGTGTATGGATTCCTGCAGTCACAAAAGCTTCAAATCACTATAAGGGCTGTTGCCGTTTATTAAACCACTCTCAAACTCGACATCCTACACTCACACCAATGTAGTAGATGCACTCTATCTCGGTCCTTCCCCGGACACTTATACTGTTTGGACCCTACCCTCGGCTATCCCTTGGCTCTCTCACTCATCTGCCCGGAGCAGGGGTTCAGCCAACACCGCTCGGCGACGAGGAGTGAGATACTCACTCTGGCCGGTCCTTACCCTGGCTCCCCACGACGACCCCGCCTTCGTCACGGGGCCTCCCTTAAGAACCCCTTGGGCGGCTCCTCACCCCCAGCTCGGCCCCGCCCTTGTTCCAGAAGGTGCTCTCCGAAGCCCCTGACGTAACCCGTGATGTTACGTCATCCTTGACTGTCAACCCACTCGCACCTCCTTCTGTTCGCCCCCTCATTGGTTACTCACAATACTCCTCCACACATGTAAAGTAAACCCTATGGTGTCATATGCAATGCATTATAACCTATGGCCCATTTGACAGATACAACACAAAACTTTATTTTATAGAGCCGTGGCCACTTTGAAAAAGACTGCGACAAAATGTCACTGCAAGCACCTTATCGACATTAATTTGGTAGTATATAACCAATCGAATACAACCATTGTGCCTCCCAACCAGTGGTTTGCAAGATTGTCAAAGGTAGAACTGAGGACCTGTTGGATAAATACGATTTTTATTCACCATAATCAATACTGAGTGGTTTGTTGATCCTTATGGTGGTTACCCCGGGGTACCAAATAATACAAAATGGTCGAGGCAATTGACTATTTTATTTTCTGGGACACTTTCTTTGGGGAGTGGAGGGTCGGGGAGTAGAGTGAATCGTTACACCCCTGAGGATAGCGATTTTGTTGGGGTGTACTGTGGGGCTACCGTGTTGCAAGAGTGTCACTAAATGCCCTTTAAAAGATGAGTGAGGCTAGCTGCCTGTTTGCCATAAACTGTGCGTGTGAAACAGAAAAAAATTTATCTTTTGTTCTGTCCCATTTATGTCAAGGTCGTAGCGCCAGATGGTGAGACGAAGAAGCCATTTGGAAGTCTCACAGTAGAATTATTATTTTATGCAGGATGTCTCACAAACTCGTGGTCGAACTCTCCCCATGCACCCTGCGATTAGTTTTTTTTTTCCCATGAAAGTCAAACCCATGTTTAAGCTTTCAGTGCTGGAATATAGCCTAAGTGAAAACCAAATTAATGTGTTTTGTGTATGGGTGTGTGTGCAGCCATGAGATAGTTTTTCTCATGACATATCAGCTATTCATCCGAATGAAATTGAACATTTTACCTGCAATTTTTCATGCATCTATAGTCATTGGTGACTGGGCTTTGAGCATCAAATGCACTTGAGAACCCAGTTAAATCGCAAGTGGCCGTAACCTAGATTAAAACCTATATCCCTGTGGTTCTGGCTTAGCTCCCTGACCGATGAAGCACCCATCATTTAACAGTGTCACAGGATAATTTACACTTTGAATAGTGCATCGTACACAGCTCGTCGACATTAAGCGAGAGCCGGGCTGCTATTGGTACTATGTGACCCGGGGCTGCCACCAGCAGGTTCAGTTGTCCCAAGAGTCCCAGAGTGGTTGGGATATGGAGGTGGCTCAGGATCGAACCGAGTGAAAGTCACCTGAAAAGGCAGACCAAGTCAAAACAATATCCCAAGAAGCACCTATTTAAGTATTGTATATGTTATGGTAGTGTACCACCGGTGACGATTATCTGAACCGATCATGGGCTTTCCCCTAGGTCGACTCGGCCTCAAATGAGTACCTGGTGCGGTGTGTGTAGTAAACACCGTCACTAGGGGAGACAAAGGCGGCCGGGCGTGGTTGCTGGCCTCCCACCCCCCCCCCTCGTGTATCCGTGCCGGCCTTCATAGATGCTCGCTAACAACACTTGCCCCAACATTCTGTTATGGCTACACGGGAGAGAGAGAGAGGGAATCTGTCTTTATGTAATCAGTGGCATTGTGCACACAATAAACAGGTAAATGGCACCACGGTAGTTCATTAGTTGTGAGGCGTCAGCCAAGAGGTCACAGGACACGTTGGTGGCACTGCGGGACCCAAATCTCGACCACCGCGGGTCCCACGCACTAAACAAGGGCCCTTGCCATTCCTTGAGCCATCGCCACACAATGGCAACAGCGGCAGTAGAAGCCACCGGGCGATGCTTTATTATTAACAAGCAGGGCACGCAGAGCTCGAATGAAATCAGCTGAGCTCGGCGGCCCTGCCAACACCATCACCAACTCAGCGGTACAACTCCTGCCCGCCACCAACAACAAGCAGCAACAACATCATCATCATCACGACGACATTCACGAGAAGGCCTCGAAGCCGAGCTAACCCAACGCAGTGGCGAGCGTGCGGGCGAGTTAGTGAAGCGGCGAAGACGAGCGGTGAAACATTCAACTTACTTGCGAGCCGGTAAGGGCCCCGGCTGTCTCACCCCCCCACTCGCCAAACCTCCTCCTCCTCCTCACCCACTCGACTCGCTCACTCAAAACCGCTCGCGCTCGGCAGCTCGATTGCAAGTGCCTGGGGCTGGAGGCTCGGGACGTCAGGCCCGGCAGCACTGACGTGTCGCGTCGCCATTCGCGGCAGACCCGAACAGTCGCTGCGACGAGACGCTCGCTCGGCACGCCGCACGCGTTGGGGGAGAGTGGGAGGAGTCGAGAAGGGGGCACACACACCACCCCCCACCCCCCACGTGGTGTGTGGGATTGGTGTGATGATGGCTCAGTGGGGTTGGTGTGATGATGGCACACTGAGATTGGTGTGATGATGGCACACTGAGATTGGTGTGATGATGGCTCAGTGGGATTGGTTTGATGATGGCTCGCTGAGATTGGTGTGATGATTACTCAGTGGGATTGGTGTGATGATTACTCAGTGGGATTGGTGTGATGACAGCACTGGGATTGGTGTGATGATGGCTCAGTGGGATTGGTGTGATGATGGCTCACTGAGATTGGTGTGATGATGGCTCAGTGGGATTGGTGTGATGATGGCTCGCTGAGATTGGTGTGATGATTACTCAGTGGGATTGGTGTGATGACGGCTCACTGGGATTGGTGTGATGATGGCTCAGTGGGATTGGTGTGATGATGGCTCAGTGGGATTGGTGTGATGATGGCTCAGTGGGATTGGTGTGATTATGGCTCAGTGGGATTGGTGTGATGACGGCTCAGTGGGATTGGAATTATGATGGCTCACTGAGATTGGTGTGATGATGACTCACTGAGATTGGTGTGATGATGGCTCAGTGGGATTGGTGTGATTACGGCTCAGTGGGATTGGAATGATGATGGCTCACTGAGATTGGTGTGATGATGGCTCAGTGGGATTGGTGTGATGATAACTCACTGAGATTGGTGTGATGATGGCTCAGTGGGATTGGTGTGGTGACTCACTGAGATTGGTGTGATGATGGCTCAGTGGGATTGGTGTGATGATGGCTCACTGAGATTGGTGTGATGATGGCTCACAGAGATTGGTATGATGATGGCTCACTGAGATTGGTGTGATGATTACTCACTGGGATTGGTGTGATGATTTGCTCAGTGGGATTGGGGTGATGATGACTCACTGAGATTGGTGTGATGATGGCTCACTGAGATTAATGTGATGATGGCTCAGTGGGATTGGTGTGATGATGGCTCAGTGGGATTGGTGTGATGATGGCTCAGTGGGATTGATGTGATGATGGCTCAGTGAGGATTGGTGTGATGATTACTCACTGGGATTGGTGTGATGATGGCTCAGTGGGATTGGTGTGATGATGGCTCAGTGGGATTGGTGTGATGATGGCTCAGTGAGATTGGTGTGATGATGGCTCAGTGGGATTGGTGTGATGATGGCTCAGTGAGGATTGTGTGATGATTGTTTGATGATGGCTCAGTGAGATGTGGCTAAATGTAGATGGATTCCCATACCACGGAAGCGTCTCGTTGCATGAAACAAACTGAGGGGGTCGTAAAGAACAGTAAATTTGTGCAAATTAACAAGGAATAAAAAAACACACCACTGAAAGTGCTCAATGCAACCAGCCGCAATAGCCATTCATTTATTGGCTTTCACAAACTCACTATGGGTAAAAGCAAATGCAGAAAACTCTGTAGGACGATGCATACTGTCCACAAATGCTGAAAACTATTTTAGTCGATCAGCCTCTTATTATCTTTCCAGACGATATTTAGTAGCATTTATTTAAGCAAGCAAACTGGAACGGTTTCAACAATCTGGGTCTCATCAGCAGTCAGGCTTGTTAAACAAATGCTGATGAATTATGAGGTGTTATTGACGAGAACACATCGATATCACATATTGAGACCGCATTAAATATTTTATTATTTACCACAATACACATTTTTATTCAGCCACGGTCATGGCCAATCCACTGCGTAATGGATGAAAGCATCACCAAGTCGTTTTAATTGTAGTAATATACTTAATACAGTTACACAAGCTGAGTTCATTGCTCCATCACCTCGGTAGATAAACTCTCAAGATGCGTTCCATTCCAGACCACAATGCACACAGGCAGGGGCGGAGCCACGGGGGGGGGGGGGGAGCTGGGGGGGGTTTAGCCCCCCCTGAAATTTTCGGAAAGTCAGTAATCAGGATAACCGGATATCTGGCTGCTGCAAAATTCTGCAGGCTGCCACCTCGTGCTGCCCTGCAGGCTGCCACCTTGTGCTGCCCTGCAGGCTGCCATCTTGTGTGCTGCCCTGCAGGCTGCCACCTTGTGCTGCCCTGCAGGCTGCTTGAGCGGCAGCCTTTCGAACTTATCGAACTTATTAGCCACATCAGCGGCTCCGACCTATTAATAAACTCCGCGTTCAAATCCAATAAAATGTGTTTTATACATTTGTGGCGCCCATTGGAAAACATACACTGGATATCTCAGAATATTGAAGTCAGTCCCCCCAACGTCAAAATCCTGGTTCCGCCCCTGCACACAGGGCCATATTGTGGACTGATCTTTATTCTCGTCGCTAATTTGTATCCAAATGTGCACATCTCTTTATTATTTAGATGATTTGTGTTGAAGTCGCTTCTGAAAAAGCTTTCTTGCTCAGTGGGCTTTACCTGGTGAAATAAAAACATGTTTTTTTCGTAATTTGCTTACCTTTCCTATACTTGGCACTCCTGTCGTGTTTCTGTATTGTTTGTTGGTGTGACATGCACCTTCTGGACATCTATTAAAAAAAGAGCGTTATAGCTCACCAGATTCCTCCAGTATATATAAATATTCTGATTCTGATATCAATTGTATGTATGTATGTTGAACTTCTTTCACACAGTATATAGCCGACCGTGCTAATCGGAGACGCGGGAAATAATATGCGCAAATGACTTTATTTACAAAAAAATTCCCATTCTATATATTACACAATGCACTTTTCTTTACTGGCTGGGAAGTGCATTTTTATTGGCCACAACGCGTGCAATGTGCCTGTGATTACCAGAACATACGAGGTTCAGATTTAATTTTTTAGTGTGAACTGTGATGAAAGCATTCGAAACAACAAAGGCAGTGGAAGAGATTGGAGTGACCTTCCTACATTGAAGGTTGATCGGGCAGATTGGCATCAGGCAGTGGTCGCTTGGATATAAATAGTAACAATATTGTACAATATACACCCTTAAAATATAACTAAAAGTCAAGAACATGTGCATTTAAGAGCTATTAGAATGGTAGCAGTTGCTTAGCAATTGACATCTCTAGCATCACAACTGCAGTACAGTGACTCATAAATGCAATTTTGAGATTAGGAGAAAAAAAAAGATTCTCCCTAGATACCTGATTCACACTATGAGAGAGAGGTGGGTTTCTGCACAAGGGCATGTGATTGACTTTAAGGATGAGGTCGATTATGTTTTCAGTGAATGGTCATTTAAGTCTTGGTTTCGCCAAGCTCACTGGGGAGTAATATGGCCTTCAGATGCAGGCTACTGGGTTTTACACATGCTCATAAGTAGAGCTGGCAGTTGGTTCTGTACTGACCTCATATAAGTAGATTAGTCTGGAAAGTGTAAATGTACAAGTAAATACAAAACATTATATATATACACTTCATGGTATATACAGAGCTTAATAAATATATTAGTGTGGCAAGTGTAAACTCCTTGTAATGTTTGCTTGGTACTATTTAAAGCTATTTTGTGTCTTTAAAGAAACTACATCTTCAGCATTTAGGTAAGTTAGCAAATTATTGTACTCTAGTTAAAACACATGCAGTATATGTACCCGTAATTAAATTTAACTGAATTTGATTACAAATTGAATTTGATTACCCCGAAAAATTGGTATGTTATTGTTTTTTTTTTTACCAGAGGTAAATACGTTGAATTTGATTTATGAATGCAAGGCCCTCTTTAAAAAGCTTGACATTTCGCGACCGCCTGCCCCCTGAGGGGATGTTGGATTCTGCCCCCCTGGCCTTTATCAACCAGAATAGTGAAGTACGGTCAATCAACACCCATGGCTGACACAGAAGGTCTTTATCCAGCAGTGGATTGACAAAGAGCTTCACATTCGTATTATAATGAGTTAAATCGTTATAGACAAACCTTTTAATGCATTCTTCGTTTTAGCTTGAGGTATACAGCAGTTATTATTAAAGTGAGCAAATTATCTCTTGGGATGTAATGCTCGATGCATTACATTATTTGAATTGCTAAACTGGTATGAACACAACAATATCATGCAAGTAGACCCAACCAGCAGTAATCCCAAAATCTACGTATTACTAGTGTTTGTAAACTTATGCTGCAAATAACTAGAGGTAATAAAAATAAGCTCCTAATTATATTACAGTATATATCATGTGTATCACATTGCTTCTGATTAGTGCAAGTGTTTTATATTTTAAGGCATGAGTAATTATCATTTCCATATTTGCAATTGCAATTTTATTCTCCCATCAGATTTAATTGATGGGGGATGGTTGGGATTTCCCTGGCTCTGCTCTATATTTAGCTATGGGATGTATTCCCTCTAGATAACAGACCGAATGCACAATGCCACGTTTGAGCGAGCATTGTTCGTATTTGAATAGGTGACTGCCTGGAAATACTGTACCAGCTATTTTGTGGCAACGTGGCCTGGAGATGGCGGTAAAGCAATTTATTACACTATGTAACAACAATTTTTGTTCCTGGGTAGTAAGTGTTATTCCGTAATTGCTTATGCCTAAAAAGTATAGAAAATGGATATTATTCCCCACAAACTTTGCTTTTGTGACTAGGACAGTGATATTTTGAAATGTACCTATTTTCAATGAGAAAACGGGCGAATTTGTGTCTTTTCGTTCACATAAAGTGATAAAAAAACAACATATGAATCGAAATTAACAAGTATTTATACTAAAGTAATACAAAAATGACTACAAAAGATCTAGAAGTGAGTAGTTTCTCGAGATTTACGATTATACTGTAAATCACTTTCACGAATCAGCCCCCAAATGTAGTTTCCCATCATGTTCTCGTTATACTGTCCTTGGTAGTGGCGTTCAAAGTCCAGTACATCCTGGTGAAAGCGCTCGACTTATTCCTCCGAGTACGCTCCCATGTTCTCCTTGAATTTATCAAGATCAGCATCAAGGATATGGACTTTGAGAGACATCATACAGCCCATTGTGCTGTAGTTCTTCACCAGAGTCTCAACCAGCTCCACATAGTTTTCGAACTTG